AAAAATGATATATACATTTGTACAACTCCTTTTAACCCAATTGATTTGGTTAAAAAATATTTCTTTTCGAAAAAACTTAAGTAATATTTTACTTTTTCTTCCTTAGTTAGAATTTTAAAATATGTATTGTACAATGATTCATTTAACATATTGATAAAATAAGTATCCTTAAATAATTTATGTAATCCACAAAAATTTTCTTTTACAGAACTTTCATGCAAATCGATAACCATAATCTCTTTATATGTTTTTCTAATTAATTTTTCTAATGTTGATAATTTTTGTTAACTAATTTTATCAAATTCATTTGATCAAAAAATATTTTTAATGCCAGAAACATCGCGTAAATTATTTAACATTTTTTCCGGTCTTAATGTAAAATTCTTGTTATTTATATGTTTTAATTATTAATATCTTTTAATAAATACAAATGTTGAAAAAAAAAAACAATTAAAAAATGGCGAAATATACTAAAATTTCTTGCAAAAGATGTTCAATTATTAAAAAAAAATGCAATGATAAAAAACCATGTTCATACTGTAAAAAAAATAATTACAAATGTGAATCAAACATTCATAGAAAAAGAGGTCCGAAACCATTTATTGAAAAAATTAACAAAATGAATATCACATATTTACTCAATTAATAACTCTTCTTATCACATTTCTAAACATATCTACAACTCATAATCTTCCTTGCCACCTATTTTGATTATCGTCTAAATTTATCTGTTGCACATCTAATCGATTATCAATTACTTCTCTATTCCTATCTAACTGTGGAATATTATGTAAATCTCACTGTTTCACTGCTATTCTTTCTTGTCTTCTCTGTGCTGCTAATTCCATACATTCTTTTTCACGTCTCTCAATATTCAATCTATGATTTTGTCTTTCTCTATTATATTGTAATACTTGATTTCTATTTATTCAAATATATGGTAAAATTAAATTTAAACCACATACAACACAATGTGTGTCAACACTATCTCTATCATACCATCTAATCGCACAATGCATGTGAGCCATATGTCTTTGATTATTATTACAAAGTCTCACTACTTCTGGATTACCATTCATAGCTTCTCTTAAAGGTGTATTACAAATAGAACATCTTGTAAAATCTTGCGGATCCATATTCCTATCTTCATTTTGTTGTTGTAGTAATGGTGGTTGCTTTCCTACAACTATTTGTTGTACATTATCAATTACTTCCACATCCTCCCTTATTTGTGGAATATTATCCATATCTCTTTGTCTTTCTTTCATTCATCTTCTAGCTCGTTTCAAATTCAATCTATTATCTCGATTTCTTCTCATTATTTGTAATATATGATCTATTTCTACTTGATGACGTAAAAGAGGTTCAAAACACACTATACAAGTTTGTGCAATACGAGGTCTATCATACCATCCATTTGCACAATCTTCATGTATATAATGAGGCACATGTTGATTGTTACATAATTGTATAACATTTCTACCTTAATGTAATTATATATGACAAATAGGACATTCTAGAATATCTTGTTGATTAAATTCTTCTTCTTCTTCAATAACTATTTGTTGTGGTATTCGATTATTATTTACTTGAATTTCTCTATATCTTTGTAAAGCTATCGCGTCCGGTCTCAATATATTTTCTGGTACTACATTTCTCCATAATTCATCAGGTTGTAACGGTACATGACATATAGGACAAGTAATTGCACGTCGACTCCATCGATCAATACAACAAAAATGAAATATGTGATTATTTTGACATGGTATCACTGCTCTATCTAAATTTTCAATATCAAATGCTGTTAAACATATAGAACATATTTCTTCATGTACATTTATTTCCAATGCTCCTTGATCTACCTGTGGTTCTATTACAGGTATCAGTATCTGACGAGGTATTGGTATTTTTGGTTGAATTATAATTTGTTTAGCTTGATCACCGATTATCCGATCATCTCTTATTTGATCTTCTCTTATTACATTTGGTCTTTGTTTTATTGGTAATTGTTTTATTGGTATTTGTTTTA